TAATCGAGTGCCCCAAGGTGTTCCACTGGTATCTCTAATGTTAGGAGAAAGCAAGGAAGGCTTCTAGCATGTTGGGTTGGCGTAACCTTTATGACAAACTTACAAGACAATAGATAGTTTGCAGTCTGTCTCATTGGAAGCATTCAAATGGATGAGATCACAGATTCATTTTAGTATTTTGAGAGAGGGCATATATTGATGCAGACTATCTTAAGTGTATAAATGGCAAATCCATAAAGAAAAGTCTCCTTTATATTTCATTTAGAGAAAAAAAATCTGAACATGTTAGATAGCTTTTTTAATGTAGAAATTAATTCAATTTCAGCAAACTTTTTAAAAGCACCTATTAAGTGCAAGGGACACTGGTAAGTCTAAGGATAGGAGGACTTAAAAAGGAAGCAGGCCCTACTCTCAAGAATCTCATCCTGTCCTGGGAGGAGGTAACGAGTATATAATAAATACAGAGTGATTTCAAGCAGAGGAGAGCACTAACAACAAGAGTCAGAATATGTGTCCTAGAGCAAACACCCAAGCTGAGCCTTGAAGGAAGAAAGTAGAGCTAAAGTGCACTCATTTAACATACATTTCTTCTGGTAATCTGAGGATTTATTTTTCTAATTGTTCTCATTCGTGTAAATTACATAGGATAATAGGATTCGCATATGCCATTGGTAAATTGAGACTACAATTAGATTTGTGCCCCAAGAATCTTTGAACTCTAAGCATGAATCTCCCTATAATCTAGGAAAAATACTTTATTTTAATACATGATGCTTATTGTATATTTTGTCTGAATATTGAAGATATTGATTGTGTCTACACAATGCCAAACATTCTGATGAAAAAAATAATTCAGTCATGTATATGTTTACACCATAACTAAAACATCTGGATGATTAAATGAATTCCTCATTTTTCAACTATGTATTGTTATTTTTATTGCAAATGAGACTGGGAAAACGGTGAGAAGTACCATAGTTCAGGGCTGCATTGATGTTTTTAAAATAATTCCTAATTAAGCTTAGAGTCCAAAATCAGGGGAAAATTTAATTATCACTGACTCTTATTGAACTGTATAGTTATGAATCTTATTAACTATGTAAAAAGAAACGCATTTGCCTTATCAGCTAAGTCAAAATTTTTGAAAGGGCATAGACAGTATGACTCACTATGTCACTGAACCCAAAATTAGTTAGTATTTTGATCCTGGCTCTGTCATTTGTGTTTTGGTTAGGTTTGCTTCTTGATATGTGGTGCTATTTTCTTAACTACCTCATCAACTTGTAAGGAACACCTAATTAAACACTATATAAACATGAAATGGTACATAAATGATTAACAATAATATCTTTTAAGGTAAATTTACACCATTCATGAAAACAAGCTTTTTAATTACAAGGTACTTAATAAAGCTTATGCAAACTATGGTTAAACTATGGTTTACTCATGTAGTCTGATTATTTGACTGGCATATTTCTTTAAGTTATATTTCATAGTTTTTGTTGAAAAGACATTCAAAGAAGAGTGTTATGGTATAGGAATTAGCACTTTTTTAATGTTGTTTCAGTGTGCTAAGTTAAGACATTGATTCTCACAAACTAAAGAAAGAGGGAGCTGCTGACTTGAGCACTTTTGGATAGGGTGGGATGCCATGCAGACTTTCCCAAGTAAATAGGCCGTAGCTCACTCAGTCTTTTAGGAGGAGATGAGGCTGTAGGAACCAGACTTTTCATTAGCAACACCAAAGTCAGCCTCCTCAATCCTGGACTGATTTCCATTTCCCTTTAACCTATTCTTCTGGCCTTTTGTTTTAACTGAGATTTATAATATAGTTTAATATTTATGGAGTGTTTTGTATACATTGTTTTATTTGAGTCTCACAGCAATCCTCTGAGGCAGGATGCCACCATTTACCCAGTTTTCTATGTTCAGATTTTAGTGTTTTCTTCAACTCTCTCCCACACACTTTACATATCTAATCTTACTAAATCCTGTCAGTTGCACCTCCACCATATAACTTGCATTTCTCTGTTTCTGTTCACACAGCCATCACCTAATGAAATCCCTAATTGCCACTCACCTGGAGAGTTGCAATAGCTTTCCAACATGCCTCACCTTTACTGTCTCCCACCTCCAGACCATCCTTTTCACCACTGCCAGACTTGCTTTACTTATGTTATAAAGTTGGTCATGTTATTTGACTCCTCAGAATGTTCATTGACTCTTTATTACCTGTTAACTCAAGTTCAAACTCTTGCCTAGCATTTAAGGCCTTCCACAGTCTGGGACCACTCTGCTTTTCTGTCTTTATTAAATACTACTTTCCTCCACATACACTATACTCCAGCCAAACTGAACTACTTGACACCCCAACTCCTAGTTCCCATACATATGACATAGTACCATGGAAAGAACCCCTGGATGCAGAGTGAGGGAACCTGGGATAAAATCTTAGCTCTGCTTATTATCACCTATGTGACCTGCAAGTCATTGAACTTCTGTGGACAACAGTTTTCTCACCATTAAAATGAAGAGTTTGACTAGAATGATGTCTGATCTCCATTTCAGCTTTAAATCTGCTAACCTCATTGCTTTTGATTATGTTGTTTCCTATACCTAGAAACGCCCCCATCCCTGTACCTTTCCATCTGTTGAATTCCTACCTGTCCTTTACAGTCTTTCTCCTTCAAATACTACCTGCTCTAGGAAGCAGCCTTCACAAATTTTCTTTTCTGCCCTGTATTTTGGGAAAAAACCTTCCAACCCATGATCTCACATAGCACTTGATTTGAACCTCAATTATGAATTTACATGTTATTTTATATTAGAGTCATTTGTTTGTGTTAAATACTTCAATTAGACATTAAGTTTCGTGAGATCAGGGACCACATCTTCCAAACTTTATGCCCTTTACAAATTTGGGATGTAAAATCAATACTTATGGAATTGAATTGAATTGAATTGTACTCTTCTTCCAGTTTCAGTGCTCTATCAGACTACTCACGTGGAGTAGAAAGAACAGATTGGATGACAGATTCCAATACCAATTCTGCCATTAGCTCATGGTGTGATATTGGATGGGGCATGTAGCCTTTCTGGGCCTTCATTTTCTTATCTATAAAATAAACAAATGGAACTTAGGTGATTTCGAAAATCTCTTCCACTTTTAAAATTTTATTAGCGCAGTTTGTGAACATGATGACATAGTTGAGATGCCAGATAGCATCAGTTTTTTTTTTAAATCATACCACTGAACAAACTAATCAATTTCAGTAAAACTGTAGTTGGAATGTTGTTCATTAGGCAATCTTAATATCTTTGTTCTATTTTTCTAATATATAAAATACCTGTGGAGAGATGAGAAGGAAGTAGAAGTTGTTGGTAAAGCCTTTGGAAGTTTATTTAAAAAATGCTTTGATAATGATACTTATGCATTTACTAGGTTGGTCTCATAAAGGATCTTTTTTTTTATGAGGTGAATTGATGATATTGGAAATTCTTTTTCATTCTATTGCTCAATAATAATTAAAGTTACTATACAATATTAGAGCCTATTCCTTATGAATTGTTTAGTAGTATCTGCCTGCTATTAATGGAAATATCTTTTTAGGAATAGCAAGATTCATGGTTGTTTATGTAACAATTTGTTAGTCTGACAGTCAATAAAAATGAGAAATTACCTCCTTGGTATTTCTCAGTTGTCTTCTCCCACAAGCAGTGAATACATAAATCATAGTTATATGAATTTGACAGCTTTAATTGTTTAGCACTGACATGCTTTTGTCAAGTGGGGGCATCATTGGTCTTTCTTAACTAGGCTGCATGACAACAGTGATTTGTTTCCCAAACCAAGTAATGACATTAGGATAAGTGACTTTGTCTTTTTTTCACCTTATTTTGGAAAGTCTTTATTCTGAATCTGAATTTAGCCATAACCCACATTTATACTGATTTTCTTTTGAAATTAGAGCAAGATTTAAAATACCAAAAACTTTAGTGGTTTTCTTCAGTCTTGAATGTCGACCCTTAAAATAACTTATCCATGACATTTTAAATTGGAAGAATCCTTTTTTGGGTGTGAAACAGTACATTTTTGTTGCACTGAAGAAAACAAAAATGGCTCAAGTTTAAGATTAAAAGTGTAGAATAAGCATCTTTATTATATAGTCTGGGTTTATTTTTACTTTGTCAGTATGTTATTAAGTTGATTAATTTGTCAGTAAATGTTATAAAGAAAAAGATGTTCTCAATATATATTTAATTAGTTGCTGGTGTAAATCAAGTATTCATTTGTTCTTATTTAAATATTCACTTTCCACTTAAGTGAAATTCGCTTTCTCATGGATAATCTGAAGAAACTGATAGACTGGGGAAAAAAAATAATTATGTGCTGCAGCTAACAACAGTTCACCATTGCTAATAACTCTAAAATTGTTGTCCTCATTATTGTTTGAATATGATTATCATAGTAACAATGTTCATTTAGAATGTATATAAGATCACTGTATTAAAATATTTCACCGATTAAACTTTGATCTCTCCACTATACTAGTAGCTCACAACTTAGGCTACATAGTAAACTTTGATTGGCTTTACTTTTAATCTACTCAGAAAAGAATTGTAGGAATATTGTTTTCATGAATGCACTTTGGAAATCTTTCTAAGGGTGTGGAAGGTGCAGGAACTATGCAGTAGAAATGCCTTGAGTGTTTAAGTACTTTAACACAGTATTCCTATCATTAAAGTTCTTGGCCTGTTCTCATATGTAAGTTTAAAATTCTGTAGATCTATATCCTCTAAGGGCAAATACTGAGGGCCAAAAGCGGAGATAATAACTTGAGATTTGTGTGCCTCTCTTGCAGGTTACAGTCATAAATTGACAGCTCTGAAGGACTGAAACTCACATCAAAGGATGCAGATCATCTAGTTAGGTCAATTATTGTTAATTTTTGTCTTCCATTAAATTCTTTTAATGCTTTCCTCTTTACCTTTTCTTCTAGCCAAGCCCTATACCAAGCCCTGTTTTGGGGAGAAAGCCAAATGCTAGTCAGTCACTGCTTGTATGGTGCAAAGAAGTTACAAAAAACTATAGGGGAGTGAAAATCACCAATTTTACTACATCTTGGAGAAATGGCTTATCTTTTTGTGCAATATTACACCACTTTAGACCAGATCTGATGTAAGTAAACACATTTTGCTTTTCCAGTCAAATCCTTTACATGTGCTAGAAATAAAAAAAAAAACATTACAACCACTACTTGACATGTCCTAAAATGCTTAACTATAAATTACTTTGAGCATTTTGTGCATTTTTGAGGAAACAGATTTATGCCAAACCTTGAAATCCCTTTTTTACCACTCCTAAAAACAATCTTTTCTCTACTTTAAAAATGATATATTTCTTTTTCTTAATCTTATAAAAGAATAGACTTCAAGGTGATTATGAAAATTGTGTTAGTTTTAAAATGAGATGAGACAAATAAGCCCATAGCTTATATATTGAGAACAAGAGATTACCTCATGGTGAATTTGGTTGCAAGGCTGATCTCTAGTCTCCTGTACTAACTTTTTTTTTTTTTAGATGAAACGCTTCAGGCAATGAAACGTGTATTTACTGTTTATTTATTTATTTGGTTTATTTATTTTCTGCAATATTAGTTTTGTTGATCAAATTGCTATGAAATTGCTAGTTACTATAGGATATCATTGTATGTCAGATGTTTAGATTTGATGTGTTTTAAAACTACCTCATTTATCAAATACTATACATACCCACTGTGCCATTTTCTCCCTCAGTGACTACAAGTCCTTGAATCCTCAAGATATTAAAGAGAACAACAAAAAGGTAAGACCTAATAGGAAAGAAAGGGGAAAAAAGATATAGCTTCAATTTTGACTTCACTGCAGGTTTTTATTAATTTTGGGAGAGTGAGGCAGTCTTGTAAGGTCATAACTGTAGTTTACAGAAGCTATTCAGCCTCCCGCAGTTCAAATCAGACATAGTATTGACTGTGATTTGTCATATTCTTTAACATTCACAAGAAGTTCCAGGTTGACATTAGAGTTATTTTTTGTATGGCCTATATTAATAGCTGAAAAGAAGGAGAAGAAGGGCTTATGGAGCTTTTCATGACTTTTTTTCCTCTTTTAATCTAATTTATTTTTAACTGTTTTTTAGAATTCTACCAAAAATTGCATATTTATACTTCTGCTTGACTATACAAGACTACCAGATTGCTTAGGATAAAAATGTTGATGTTAATGCCACAAGTCATTAAAATTTTAAAGATTAAGAACTTTGATTTTCACTAGAAACATAATTAATGAAAACCAGTGTGGGCCCAAAGCCTTTTAGTTCTCTTTTGAATCAGGTAATTTAAAACAAAAGTAATATAAAGAGAATCCTGACACAGGTTCATTTAGCTAAAATAAGTTTAAGGTCAAATTTTTTTTTCTATTAATGCTTCTTTCCACCATTCCCCATCCCCCCCAAAGAAAATCTTATGCAGCAATTGAAAATTTCATTTTTCCTTGAAAATGTCTGATTCCCTCACAGGGTATATTGACAAATAACTCATTTTCTACACAATTTAATATGGGAATCATTGTAATATGCTTTTTTAAAGTTTGTGTTCTGTAAAATAGGTTATCTATGTAAATTAAGTTTTCAGAAGCAGCACACACTAAAGTAAAAAGCTTTCTTTTTTCATAATTTTAGCCAAATTTGGTCTTTGGGTCATGTGTACAAGCCTTTTTTGCATTGTTCCATTGAGTAAATAGCAAGCCTTTTTCTGACTGTCATGGAAAATGCAAAGCTAAATGATTGTAAAAATATACATATTGTTATTTTATAAGGTGGATTTTTTAACTTGTAGTTTGAAATTTTGAAAACATATTATTGTATGTTTCCTTTAACATTTTTTACAAATATATGAATAATCTTGCCAGCTCTTAAGTTATTGTGACAGTCCACTATTTTGTATTTCTTTTTCAAATTTTGAAGACATTAATGCTGATATTACATTCTACTACACATATTAGACTGTTCTATTAAAAACATTCTCTCCATTAGATTCGCTTTGGCTTAAAATTACAGTTTTAGGGTGAATTTTATTTCATACTCTTCCATTTCTAGTCAAAAATACTCATCATTCAATAAGTAATTGTTACTGTTGTTTAATTTCTTTTTCTTTCATCATTTTAAGCCCTTGCCTGACAGCTACATTTGAGTAGCTCAGTTGCTTCCTTCAGATTTGTTTCCTGGCTTCACACAGTTCTGCCTGATAACCCCATGTGCCCTAGATGGGAATGAATGCAGTACAGGGAGCAGCAATGCCAGTGTATAAGTTCCATGTGGATGCATAGCACATTTGACAATGACTCCTCCTAACCAATTAAAATAACATCTAGCAGTGAATAAGACAATTTTCTTTGTGAGAATTCCATTTTCCTCTGCACCCAGGCCACTACAAAAGACAGTGGATGATTGACTATAGTAGCAAACATTAACCTTTGAAAATACATCTTTAAATAAATGTCTTGACCTTACTTGTTAAAAGTATGATTTGTTTTTAAACAGTTTGCACTACAATTAATGTTCATTTTAAAATGAACTATTACCAGAATTAAAACTTAAGAAGTTTCCTCACAAGGAAGCTAATCATTTTCCCAGATCTGGAAGAAGTAGCGAATAAAAAAGGTATTTACCTGTGACATCTGATCTTGACCAGTATGTCAGTGTGTTAGATAATTGGGAAATGTTTAGAATACTGCCTGTGGTGCTTTCGCTGATGGCCTGCAGTTGATGGCTGTCAATCATGTTGTCAGGACACTGGAGGAAGAAAAATTCTTAATTTTCCTAAAACAAGTAAAATAACAAACAAGTCTATACTTGCACTCCAACTGAGCCATACACCTTAACTAAATATTTTGAGTCATCTATATATATTATGAAAGATAGTGCTGTGAAAATTGAAGATGTTTTAATATCACAATTTGTTTTCCATTTCATTCTTCCTTTCTCCCCCTAAAAATTTATAAAACTGCAGGAGGAGTATGAGGAAAGGATTAAATCCAAAGGTAGAAGTGTATTTTAATATGTAAGATTAAAAGACTATTTTCTTCCTGGTGTTAAATCAATTTCTAACTATTGTTTTGAAGAAAAACTTTGTGAGTTGATTTTTAAAACCTGAATATGATGAGAATATTTTTATAACTGAAATTGTGACATGTAGAACTAGAAAATTTTTTTCTTGTTTTCACTAAAAGTGTATCTAAACCCTTAGCCATTCCTTACAGGGCTTCTGGCAACACAATACTGTTTTCAAGGGTTAGTTCAGGATAGTAATAATTATTTGTAAATTGAGAAACAGCTTTGATTCTTCAAAACTAGAAAAACCTGATGCACTGCAGTCATTTAAAGGCTAGCAAAAATAATACAATGCAGCCACACATTCTCAACTTTGTCATAGGTTTCAAAACACTTCACTTTTTTTAGTGCTGTTGAAGGAAAATTACATTCTTCTCATTTTGTAAAGTCATAGTTAATTGGTGTTTAAGAAAATGTTTGTAAGTTTAAAAAGCATTTATTCCTGCTTTATATCAGGTGATTGAGGTATAGTTCTTTTTGGTTATCTGCTTCTGTTTTTTCATCAGCACAAATCAGTACAATTACACTGCCAGTAGAAGAGAAGAAGTCGATCAGGCATGATAAAGCCCAAGATAGATTAGTGTGGTGTCTTTATTTCTTAGTTTCTTATCTTAAAAGCCCATCCTTAGATACCTTTTTGTTCCAACTCTCCCATTTTTATTTGCTTGTTTTCTATATCATTCTATTTTTATTTTATCCATTAAGAATGTCCCCAATGAAGGTGGGCATATGCTTTTATCATATTCTTTGCTTTTTTTATTTTAGTTTCACATACAGCATTATCATAAATAACATGAAAAGTATTTTAAAATAAAGGCTACCTATGTGGATTTTATATTCTTTCTTACATGGAAAGTAGACATATTCCTAGAGGAAAAAGTAAATATGATTGGGAAAGATGAGAAAAAATCATTTGCATTTTAAGAATGTTTTTAACAACAGTGTGTGAATTTTAAAAATCAAGTTATAGTGTTTCTAATTTTGTAGTTCCAACTGAAATTTTAAATTGCAGTGTTTGACATCTGTAATATAACTTTGTTTGCTTATTTTGAAGGCGTACGATGGATTTGCAAGCATAGGAATTTCTCGGTTATTGGAACCTTCTGATATGGTTTTGTTAGCAATTCCTGACAAACTGACTGTTATGACTTATCTTTATCAAATAAGGGCCCATTTCAGTGGTCAAGAATTAAATGTTGTTCAAATAGAGGAGAATAGCAGTAAAAGCACATATAAAGTGGGAAACTATGAAACTGATACAAACAGTTCTATTGATCAGGAAAAGTTCTATGCAGAACTTAATGAGTTGAACCGGGACCCTGAATTCCAGCAACCTAGCAGCGGAGCAGTAGACTTCACATCTCAGGATGATTCTGTATTTGTAATTGATAGTGGTGTTGGAGAGTCAGAGAGTGAGCATCAGACCCCTGATGATCATTTAAGTCCAAGCACAGCTTCCCCTTACTGTCGAAGGACTAAAAGTGACACAGAGCCACAAAAATACCAACAAAGCTCGGGAAGGACTTCAGGATATGAGGAGGCTGGAATATATACCCATACGGATTCTGCACAAGCACAGATTTTGTTGAGCAAGAAGAAATTGCTAAAAGTTGACACTTTAGAATTGAGTGACTTAACATATATCAGTGATAAAAAAAAAGATGCATCTCCACCCTTTGCTCGTGAGGAACTTGACAGGCAAAGGCACCGTTCTCTAGAAGTTACTGATAGTAATCTGGAAGAAGAAAAATTGATATCTTCTGGCTCCTCAGAGAACAAGAGACCGGAACCTGAGTCTCCTGTAAAAAAATCAAGTTTATCTCCCACTTCTAAACTTGGATACTCTTACAATAGGGATGTAGACCTCACAAAGAAAAAACGTGCTACTCTGAGACACACAGAGTCTGATTCTGATACAGATAAAACAGTTTTAAATCATTCAGACCATTCTGCAAAAACAGCTCAGGTAAGAGAATTGACTAAATATGCATCTGTAGTACTAGTCAGGTATGGCCCCTGTCTTCACACAACATATTTGTACTGCATTATTGTAGGCAGGGACTGTTTTTTCATTTTTTCTTCACAAATAAAGGTTTGTTTTTACAAATGGTTATAGGTGGAGTATGTTATGATTTGTCATAATGGGCATTTTTGAAATGATGAATGTTTATCATGTTCTTCTATTGTCTACAACTGCTAATATGTGAAAACCAGCAACATAGGAAGCAACTTCTCTTAGGATGTATTCCTGTTTTCTCCAGTTAAAGTTAGTAATAATATTTTATAGTGTTACTAGAAGAACCCCTCTAGAGTAAAGGGCTAAGTTATTGAATCTTTAAATACTACTAGTTAATTGTCTATAGAAAGCAAGAGTATTTTGTGTCTTATGAATGCATAAGAATAGCCTGAGAATATTTTTATTTTCCCTCTAATAAAAAGGCCATATTGAACATGGTTTTCTTTTCTTTCTTTTTTTTATTAGCAAACTAAAACTCTAATTTTTCTCTCTAAATCATTTTTCTTTTATTTTTCATTTGTTTTGCTCAGGTATTTCCTCCCCCCCCCCCGTGTTTTATTCATGGTTAAAACAAGTCATAGCATTTTTCAGAGCTTGCCTTGTCTGATGTATAGACAGTCTTGACCTGATCATTGATCACTTGGCAATCACTGACCAGCTTAGCAACAACTTTCAATATATTGGACTTTGAACCAGCCCATTTCCTAACAAATCAACAGCCACAGCGACGTAATACAGGTTTGGAAACGGAGAGTTCCAAAACAGTACCTTATACAAAGTACTAACTCAATCATATTTGTTCATTGATTTATTGCAAAATTATTAGTGAATATGTTTAAGTACCGTTCAAGTAATAGTCATGTTGTTTTGTTGATGCCCTTTGTTATTACACCACAGTCATTTCCCAATATATACCCCCACTACCACCACTGAACCCTCTCTTTTAGCAAAAACAGACACAGGGACCACATCTGACAACATATGCAACATTCCATACCCATAGTCACCCATCTTTTTATACCTCCCTAAAAGGAAATATTTTATCCTCTTTCTTCCACAACCAAGATTGCCCATTACATTTAATGAGTCTCAATACCTGTGGTTTTTTTTAAGTTAATTTATTTATTTTTAGTTTTCAACAGTCACTTCCATAAACTTTTGAATTTTAAATTTTCTCCTCTTCCCTCTCCACTTCCCTCCCCAAGATGGTGTGCAATGTAATACAGGCTCTACATATACGTTCCTATTAAGTCAATACCTGTATTTTTTTCATTTACATTATTGTAGTCATTTTATGCGGTATCTTGGGCTACTTTCTTCATGCTGCATCACTTCTTATGTTTCTCAGAATTCTTCATATCCATTTCTTGTGGCACAACAATATTCTATTACATTCATATGCCACAATTTTGTTCAGCCATTCTCTCAATAAAGTGATGCTATGAATATTTTACTACATATAAGGCCTTTCCTTATATGCCCAGTCATAGAATTTCTGGGTCAAATGATAGGAAGTGTTTAGTGATATTCTTATGTATATCCAAATTATTTTGCTAAATAGTTGGACAGATTCCTAGCTCCACCAACATGGTCAATGTTGCTATCTTCCCACAACTTTATCTAACATTGACTATGAAAATAGATTCTTAAGGCAGGCTTCAGTGTTATAGTCATCTAGAGTGCTTAGTGACAGCTGGCAATGGATTATTTGAACTTGAATTCTTTTCTGGATTTACCACTAACTGTAGGAGCTTTGGGCAGGTATCATGACTTAAGCATCACTTTCCCTATCTATAAATAAAAGACCTTTTTCAACCCTGCTCACTCTGGTGATTAAGGCAGCTTGTAGTCCACATCTCATTGAGCTCAGGATGTGTTAATGTATTGGCTAGGAATTGACAATGTAAATTTCTAGTTATTTCAGTCTTTAGAATGATAAAGGAGATTCATTATCTAGAAAGCTATAATATGGCTGCCTAATAAACATTATGGGTTTTTTGTGATCTATAGTCTAAAGATCTCAATCAAAAATAATTCAGGTTTGCCCTACTTTGTACAACCAAATTTGTCACTGTAAATACACAATCACTATTTAGGGGGGGAAAAAAAACAGCCATTTACTACATGACCATAAAATCAATGAGGCGCAAATCAAGGCCCAGAGAACCTAAATGGCTTGTCTGAGGTTACTTTTGGATGGGCTCTACAAAGAATCTGAGCCAATTTCAACATTTCACGAGTGAGGAGATTAAGACATAGAGAGATCATGACATGCGAAGGTCACACAGTTGATGGCAGAGGTGGGGGTAGAATCTAGTTTCTTTTTTTCTTCTTAAGTTCCTTCCATTATTCCGCAGTGTACTTTGATCTACTTTTTAGAAAATTTGATAACATAGTTAAAAAAATCCACAACAAGCCAAATATTATAGTCATTTTAATTACACATATAAATATAACTTAAGTTATCATTGTTGCTAACTATGCTATTTCTCAAATTCTCTCTTAGGCTATGAGTTTTTGAGTAATCTTAAATATGTGATGCAATTTTGTTTAAGGAAAGTTAAAGTTATGATATTAACTGTCATGTCTAAGGACAAAGGAGAAAATATAGACAGTGAAATAGGAAGATTTGAAAATTCAGAGCAATAAAATAGAAAGATGATAAAAGAGGTCAAATACTGCCATCCCTTTTTAGGCAGTTATTCTAATAAACTAAATAAAAATCACATTTGCTTTTCTTTCCCTTTGTTTTCTATGGTACTTGTACCTAAAACTTGCGCTATACAATGAAAGAAAAGATATGTGTAGTGGATATGAGATTAGCCATAACCACAAACTGTCATGTAGCAGTTGGATATATTGGGAAGGAAAAAAGGAATTTATGGAAGGAAAAAAGGAATTTACAGAAGGAACAAAAACCTACCCTACTTAAATTGGTACATATGCTATTGTTTAGAACAGGGGTTCATAACCAGGGTCTGTGAACTTTTAAAAACATTTTATAACTAGTACAATATAACTAACTAAATAAAAAAAGAATGTTTAAAAATGGGGAAAAATAAAATGCTAAATAAATTTTAAAAATAATGTTAAAAATAATGTTTAATTTCCCTTGCAATCTCTTGTATATTTCATTTTATGCATTTAAAAATATTATTCTGAGAAGGGTTTCTTAACCTTCACTAAACTGCCATGAGATAAAAAAAAAAAGGTTAAAAATCCTTGGTTTAGAGCTGTTGTTGAATAACTTGTTTCTTTTTGGCAATTTGTTCCCAAAGTTCTTCAAAATATGTAGTACAGAATAAATACTTAATATTTTTCAGTAGCTCAACCCAGAAAAATGTTATAATTCTGATGAGGTTTGTTTTATTTTAGGGAAGATAGGTAGGGAAAGCCAGACTTCCAGGATTGCTTTTCATTGACTCAAAACATGTGATTTAGACCATTGTTAAGTGTGAAGAATTTAAGCAAATTTTACCAGAATAAATACAGTTAAAATGTTTCAATCCTTTTTAAACTCTAGGTGAAGTTGATTTTTACTATACTAAAAATGAAATGGTCACTAAATAAAGGAGATCTTTGGTCACCATTCACAGATATTACAGAAAAATGTATGTTTACATAAAGTAAAATGTAAAAGAGGTAATGGTCATTCTATAAAACTCTAGGGCCTTAAAATTGAATTTAAATGTATTCCATTTTTAGAACATGGTACTTTTAGAAAACATGAGTGGATAAAGCTGCAGCCTTGGAGTCAGGAGGACCTGAGTTCAGATCTGGTCTCAGACATATGACACTAGCTGTGTGACCCTGGGCAAGTCACTTAACCCCAACTGCCTTAAAAAAAAATGAAGAATTAGAGAAACAATAGACTTATAGACACTATACCCTCTTTTGAGAATATTTCCATAAAGTTTCGTTATGACTAAACTATGATAAACAAGATTTAAGTGCTAAAGATAATTTCACTTATGTTAAAATGTGCTTATAAATGCCATAGTATATATTGAGCATGCTCTTATCTCACACAATCTCATGAAGTTGTCTTAATTCTGGTCTTTTTTATTTAGGTAGATTACCTGGATATTAATTAGTATGCACATATAGATTATATATATGTATCTTTGCAACTAATTCTGCCTCTTTACTTTTAAGCAGCGAATATTATCAAGACAGGAAGAACTTAAGGAAAGAGCAAGAGTTCTGCTGGAACAGGCAAGAAGAGATGCTGCTTTAAAGGCTGGGAATAAGCAGATCACCAGTGCATCCACCCCAGCGCGCAGTAAGCAGCTGAGCGATGTAAGGTTCATGGGTTGGAATCATTGCAATTAATTCTTATTTAGTTATACCTCTTTCCCCCAAGATAATTGTCTTCTTACAACATGTCACACAATGAGAGGATCATAGTAGGCCCTCAATAAGTACTTTATTGATAGCTAGATGGTTGTAATTTTTATACCTGTTTTTCCTACATAATGGCATTAACGAGGAGGAAAAAATTGTATCTCTGGTGTATGAATTTCATTCATGTTTAAATAATCTATTCTTTAGATGACCATCCTCTCTGGAGAAGGAAGTTAGTTTGTATGTTGGTTTTCCTAATCCCAGCTGCCTGTTTGCCAAATTGTAGTGCTACAACTAATAATAATGATAACACACACTTGTATATTGCTTCAAGGTTTGCAAGGCATTTTTCCTCGTGCTAGCTCTGTGAAATAGACTTCATTAATTCCATTAATCTGGGTTCTCATTAATCCCTCCAACAGTTGCAATTCATCCATGCTTCCCATTTTGTACAAATCAGGAAGACCTGTGTCCAAATCCAGCCTCAGACACTTAATACCTATATGACCCTGAGCAAGTTAATTAACCTCTTTTGACCTCGGTTTCTTCATCTGTAAAATAGGGATAATAATATTACCTTTCTCATAGGTTATTGCAAGGATCAGGTGAGGTAATATGTAAAACACTTCAAGTGCTATAAAATGCTGTCATCATCATCATCATCATCATCATCTTATTATTATTATTGTTATTATTACAACTCTTCTCCATGCCCTTCCATAAATCCTCCATAAGAGGTTCATCCGGTATGCTAAAGACCATCCTCTGGATCTCTTGACATTGCATGGGAACTAGTGGCATGCATAAGGGATATAATAGTCATACCCTGTTTGTAATATATGACCAGCCCACTTCCTTTTTCTATCATACAGTTCTTTGATTTTTTTTTGTTTTTTTTTTTGCTTTTTGTTTTTGTTTTTAGGCAGTTGGGGTTAAGTGACTTGCCCAGGGTCACACAGCTAGTAAGTGTCAAGTGTCTGGTCTGAGGCCAGATTTGAACTCAGGTCCTCCTGACTTCTGGGTGCTCTATCCATTGTGCCACCTAGCTGCCCCTAATTCTTTGATATTTTACACAATTTTTATGAATGAGGAAACTGAGGCTCAAGGTGGTTAAATGACTTACCCAAACATTAAGTATTAAGTATTAAGATTAAGATGCAAACCTAGGTCTTCTCAAGACTCTTTCTTCACAAGGCCATTAATTTTTATGAATTTTGCTGATGTAAAATAGGGACTGAAAAGGCTAAGTAGAATCTATTTCACTTTAGTCTCTAGCCCAAATAAAACATGGCATCCTCTAAGCCTTTCTTTAAACTTCTAGGGTGGGGGGGGGCAGAGTCCCTCCTTAAGAAGCATTTGTTTTAGGCTCAGGTGTAGTTTTCTTTTTCTCAAAAAAACTGATTTTAATTTGTGACTATTACTAAAAATTTCATCTTTAGTTAAGAGTGAAAGCATTTTGTGCATACTTGTTGTACTTTAGCCTCTAATGAACTTATCATGTAATGTTTTATATTATAGCTTTGTGTGTTTGTGTCTTATTCCTTCCCGTTAGACTGTAAGCTGCATAATGAAAAATTAATAATTAGACTCCCTTTAAGAGCACTGGTGATGATAAAGTTCTGAGGGATTACATGTATTCTCTTTTCATATAAGAATATAAACAGTTTAACCTTGTTTAATCTCCTATGATTTCTCTCTCGTGTTTACTTTTTTATACTTCTCTTGAGTCTTGTGTTTGAATGTCAAATTTTCTATTCAGCTCTGGTCTTTTAATCAGAAATACTTAGAAGTCCTCTATTTCATCAAAGTTCCATTTTTTCCCCTGTATGCATTATACTCGGTTTTTCTGGTTAAGTTATTCTTGGCTGTAAGCCTATTTCCTTTGCGTTCTGGACTATTGTGTTCAAGGCTCCTGCTCCTTTATAATGGTGACTTCTAAAATCGTGTGTGATCCTGATGGTAGCTCCTCAGTACTTTTTTTTATTTTCTGGCTGCTTGCAGCATTTTTCTTTGACTTGGAAATTCTGGACTTTGTTGGTGGTATTCCTATTCCCGCCCTGGATTTGTATTTGGACAAGAGTAAAATGATGTTGAATCCAGTCCCTGTAAACCATCTGGAAAGTGCTTTTGCTTCATAGTGGCAGAATTGTAGGCTCCAAACTGCTGCTGTTTGCATCTGAGCTGAACTTTCTCCTTTCCCAGTACACTGTTGAGGGCTTTCTTCCCCCAGAATGTTACCCCACTGTACACATTAAGGCTCTGACCCAGAACTAGGTAATGGCTGAAAAAGCTGCCATTAGACACCTGTCTCCATCACAGTGGCCTGGTGTGGGTCTGGTGAAACCCCAGTATATGTCTTCACCTTCCTCTTGCCTTGGTGCACAGCTCACTGGAGCACAGGATATGCTCTTGGCTTGAACTTCTCTCCAGTGTCTCCAGGATTCAATCAGGCACATTTTCTAGATCTATTCAGAGGACATTTGTGGAGAGGAGCTCAGTTTGACAGTTCTTAACACTTTGTCATCTTGGCTGTGCCCTTCTAAGTGGCCTGTTCTCAATCTTCATTCTTCTTGACTTCTCTGCAGCATTTAACACTGTGAATCACTCTGTTTTCCTTGATTCAGGGCTCTGTCCTAGACTCTCTTCTTTTCTCCCTTTATACTACTTCACTTGGTAATCTCATCAGATTTCTTGGACTTAATTATCACATTTATACTGATAATTCTCACATCTACTTATCTAGACTCACATCTCCAGCTGCCTTTCAGACATCTCAAAATGGTTGTTTACCAGACATCTTGAACTCATTATTTTTCCACCTACACTCTCCTCTCTTCCAAACTTTCTTATTACTCTCAGAGGCACAACCATTTTCCCAATCCCTCAGACTCTCAAACGAGGTATTGTACTCAACTTCTCATTATTTCTTATCCTCTATATCCAGTCTGTTGCCACGTCTTGTCAATTTCAACTTTGCATATTTCTCAGATACACTCCCTTCTTTCCTCTGACACTGATGCAGGCCCTTATCTCTTCACATCTGGACTACTGAAGTAACCTGATGGTAGGTATGCTTGCTCCAGTTTTCTCCCTACTCTAATCCATTCCCCATTCAGGCACCAAAGTGAATTTCCTAAAGTTTAGGTCCAACCATGTCATCCTTACCCTCCTCAGGAAACTCCAATGGTTCCCTATAACCTCCAGGATCAAATACCAAATATATTTGGTGTTCAAAGCCCTTCACCTCTTGCCCTCTCTTCCACTCCTTTTATACCTTACAGTCCCCCAAATACTCTCTGATCCAACAACACTGGCCTCCTTAATATCCCCCCAACAATTCCTCTCTTTTCTGCCTCTTAGCTTCCCTGGCTTCCTTTAAATCCCAACTAAAATCCCATACAGGATGCCTTTCTTCTTAATTCTAATGCCTTCCCTCTGTTGATTATCTCCAATATATTCTTTCCCTATTAAGTTTGTACTTATTGGTTTGCTTCTTGTCTCCCCCATTAGACTATGAGCTCCTTGAAAGCAGGGACCTTCTTTTGCCTTTCTTTGTATCCTCAGCACTTAGCAGAGTGCTTGGCACATAGTAGCAGCTAGGTGGCACAGTGGATAGAGTGCTGAACTTGGAGTCAGGAAGACTCATCTTCATGAGTTCAAATCTGACCTCAGACACTTACTAGCTGTTTGACCCTGAGCAAAAGTAGAAGCAAAAGGTGGAGTTGCAGAGAAAATTATTGAGTTTTGATGGAAAAAGAAGTTAAGGACAATTAGAGCTATCTAAAAGTAGCATAGAACATATACTGGGTTATCTCTCACTTGAAAACTTCAAATTAATGCTAGGTGATCCCTTGTTAACAATGTCATAGGGATTTTTGGTCAGCTATAGATTACACTAGATGACTTTTGAGGTCTTGTCCAGCTCTGAGGGTCTGCAGATCCATAAAAAGTGGTTATGAAGAGATTTCAGTTAGACTGTGTGTGTATGTACATTTCCATAGCTGTTAAAATATACATACATATGTATGTATGGTTCTCTACTGAATTTATTTTTCAGGAAGCAGAAACTCTTATTTTCAACTATAACTGAATTTTATGTTACATTAAAATGGATAGTAAACATTGCTCTGTTTAGTTTATACCATTTTCTAAAATTTAATCAATTTTCTTCTTTTCATTCTGTGTACATTGTATCACATTCTTATGTTCATAACCTCAAAGATATTTTGGATTCCTTACACTACTTTCTACGTATCCATTTAATCACCAGATCTTATCAGTTCTACCCCCTCAATATTATTCCTATCTCTAATTCCTCTTTACAGTTCTCCTTGGTACAGCCTAAGACCTTTATAACTGCAAGGATCAATCAGTTAAAAGCATTTAAGTACCTATTAAGTTCAAAACACTGTTCTAGGTTCTGGGAATACCAAAATAAACATCAAAAGTCCTTACGTTCATCATCTTACATTCTATCAGAGAAAACTACTAGAACATGTTAAGTAAGTCTAGGTTAATTTTAGGGAGGGATGGCATTATAAGCTGGGGGGGAAGGAAGGGAGGAGTACGTATATTAAACTTTGAAGGAAATTAGGGATTCCAAGATGCGTAGGTGAGGAAAGAATGTATTCTAGGTCTGGATAACACCCTGTGCAAAGGGATGGAGAAGGGAAGTGAGATGTCATTTGTGAGGGACCGGAAGTAGTGCCAGTTTGGCTCGACTATAAAATGCATAAAAGAGAGTAATGTGTAACATCTTGAAAGGTAATTGGTCTCAGATTGTGATGGACTTCAAATACCAAGAAGTGTATTTTTGTTTGATCCTAAAGGGAATAGGGAGCTTCTTGAGCAAGTGAATGACATGGTCAGACATGGTCAGACGATTTAGGAATATCACTGACAGCCAGCTTGTAAAAGTTATAAAGTCTTTTTTTTAATGGGTTCAGAAAAACAGC